AGAGAGTCGAACAGGAGCAGGCACAAAGTGACCTCGGTCAGGGCTCTGGCGCAGCTCGGAGCCTCGGCTGGCAGAGACGGCGTCCTCACCCGTTGGATGACCAAGGTGACAGGGACGATCACCGCTAGGTGTTTGCGCGCTATCCTCAGCAGGCACTGCCACCACACCTGCACACTCGCCGGCTGGACCCTGATGCGGGGAATACGGTATCGGTGCAGCGTGGCACAGCGAGGACCGAGGAGGTCTAAAGCCAGGAAAGGTAAAGACATAGCCAGGTGAGCCGCGAACGCAATGAAAGCCGGGAAGAACGGTGACAGCAGGAGAGCGTCGTGACTGCGGAGCGCATCCCACACAGGCTGAAGGGCTACCGACGGTGCGACTGGGCAGGTGTTATTCATCTCAATGTTTGTTTGTTTGTTTTTTTGCTCTTTCGTTGATAATTTTCCGATTTCCAGTCTACATCTCGATTCGTTTTTCTGTTCTTTCTGTTGATGGAAGCAAACTGCCTCTTAATGCTTTCTCCACGACTTCGGTTCACCCTGACTCTTCGCTTCAAAGAGGTGCTTTGACGGTGTTACTCGCCGTGCGGTTACCAAGAGACACAGATCACGACTTCGGGACTTCGGGAAGAATGAAAGCAGAACAGAAGAGGGGAGTTTTGATGTGGGTGTGTGTGTGTGGGGGGAGTAGTATTTTGGAACGATGGCTCAACAAACTCCGGTCCAACATCGCTATCTCTCCAGAATTGTGTGCATTTAGGGAAACTGTTGCGTTTTGCAGCAGCTTCGTTTGATCTTTAACTTCGTTAAATCACGAACAATTAATAAGTGGATAAGTTAAAAAAATGGAAAAATGTTACATTAATTGTCTATCACAAGCCATCCACGTTTTCATTAATAGTAAATCATATTAGCACAGGAAGAAATTTCGATTACAACCTGTGGTCTTACTAACTTCACTAGACCCGGGGGACAGCTTGGACTTTTTATATTTCTTTTGCTACACAATCATCCATTTTTGGCACTTGCCTCACCCCCAGAGTAGCTCTGGTCCTCAAGGGCTGCTGTCCAGAAGGCTTGTACAGTAAGTCTCTGTGAACTTCCATCTCCTCCCCACCAAAGGAAAGCTTCAAAAGTGTCCAATTAAGCAAATGAGGACCTGAATTAGGGCATTAAGAATTGAATTATTCAATTAAAAATTCAATGTCTAATCAAGATGTAATGATGTATACAGAGTAGAAAAAATAAATTAGAATCAGCGTATGGAAAATACATAAACCTCTAATAAGTACAGTTAAGGGGGTAATCAACATGAGGTTATTAACTCATTGGGTGAGTAGTAAAAAAGTACTGAGTTTGGGCAGAGCTATCATACGTGATGGTCAGATACTTTGGGAGTTTGGTTCGTATCATACAGGTTAGTGGAAACATGTCATGCCACAATCAAAAGGATTTCTCAGGAAAAGAGGTAGGTCAGACAGTTGACAAATGGAAAACATTCAAAACCACACTGATAATTAAATAAAAACAAAAAATAAAACTTAAGTTGCAAAATCACAGTGACTTCACCCAGGACCAGAGACCTGCCAAGATCTCCCCAAGAGCAACCTGGCAAATCATCCAGGAAGTCACAGTCACTGTTCACGTCTCCTGTGGTGGCAATGGTTTTCATGGGCCAGCCAGGAAAAAAATCACTGCTCTCTAAAAAGAACATTGTCTATATATCTATGAATTGGCCTATTAATCTGCTCTCATCCCCACTGATAACTGATATGTGTTGAGCGTTCTGGTGCACTATGGCTGCCGTCGCATCATCCAGGTGGATGCTGCACATTGGTGGTGGCGGAGATGCGTCCCCATCACCCGTAAAGCGCTTTGACAGAAAAGCGCTATATAGTGTAAGCAATTATTATTATTAATTATTGTCGCCCCTCTCAGGCTCTTCAAAGAACACCTGGATGAAAATGTTTTTAGGATAGATGTGTCGAAAGTTGAGTTTCTTCTGAAGAACCATGAAACCATGCATTTGGCCTTGTATAAGGTGGAGAAAACCAGGTCACCCATTTGTCAGCTGAAGCTTATCTCAAAGTGAGGTCGTGCAGCATGACAAAGATCCTAAACGTACAAGCAGATATCCACCAGAATGGCAGAAGTCAAAATCCTAACCTTAGCCCCACTGAAGTGCTATGACAGCTGAAGTCACTGCTGCTAAAAGGGGTGCCACCAGTTACTGAATCGGGTTCACATACTGTACTAATTTACTCAAGGATTTTTAATGTTGGATTATTTTGTAAATCAAATAGTCCAAAAACATCTTATGTCTTTGTTTTATCCATTTGGTCATGTTACTTTGATCTTTCATTAAAACATTTAAGAGGAACAAATTACATTTTAGGTCTGCAAAATACAAGATTTTCGACTAACCCAGGAGGATTCTGTCAGCACTGTATTAGAACGTGTTCAACACTTTAGGATATTTTACTTGCTTTTGAATACTTTATTTGAAGGTCAAATTGCACCCAATTACCAAGATGCCAATTTTTTAATTGCACCTGGTTACCACATTTTATCATGTGCTGCCGAGTCTCTCATGTGGAAAAAACATTCAGCAGAGAACATGGGAGGAACAAGTCATTAAATAAAATAAGGCAGTATTTGTTCATAAGAGACATTCCTCAATAAAAAGGATATTACAATTTAAAACCTCTGTGTTTTCCTGGCCAAACCATAGTCATCAGGGGGCAGATATCCTTTGGTACTGAATACTGCATCGAAATTGAGAAAACCAGACTTGGAACATTAAAATGTTCCCTCTAATCCATGTAAGCTAGAAACAAAAATAAGTCTTTTTCTTATGGGTTTTTCTAGGGATTCAGGATTTTAAAAAACTTCTCTGAAGATCCCGTTAAAATGTTTTGTGATCCAGACAAAGGTTCCAGTGAGGACACTACAAACCACCGAAAATCAACCTTTTGTGACTTCATGAAAATGAAGTCACCAGTATCGTGACACACACCCACACAAGGAGAAACACTAACCTTTTGAAACGTGTGTAATAAAACCTTTAAGCACAAAGAACATAATAGAAAGGAAATATTACTCATATATATACTGCACATACACGTCTGGGAACTTGATGATGGTACCTGTCATACACTGCTGGTAATACAGTTCTGCATGACTAGCCAGGCTTGTCAGTCAGGAACCCCCAAATTTATTAGCACGCTAACACGTCTCTTAGGTTTGGCAATAAAGAGCACAGAATATCAGATGGGAACTGCAGACCAGACAAGACTTACAAAACGAAACATTTGGAATCTCACAATGCTAACTAAAAGAATATTCAATAAGCAGTGAAAATGACCAGATGAACAGGTACAGATTCATTCCATGCTGAAAGGTAAGGAAAAGTTTTTGCCATGGAGTTTTCTTTGGGGAGTGTGTACAGCAATTGGAGGCCCACAGCTAAAACACCGTTTCTTTTCGTTTTACAGTATCTCTCAGCCTGGAATCAACCTGTACCTGTTCCGTTGCAGCCTACACCTGTTGACGCAGCTACCTGGTAAAATATTCCATTTTAAAACAAATTCTCTCCAACAGCCTTACTTATCAAGCTGCATGATATCTGTCAATTTGAGACATATGAAAGTGTATTAAAAATGGAGAGAAGGGGGCGTTTCTTTACTCAAAGGATTGTGGGAGTACAGAAGAAGTTACCCACCCACGTCGTTGATGGCGATGCCCTGCTTACTTTCACAAAACGGCTGGATGAGATCCTTGGCTCAACGAAGTACCAAGCGGGGTACATGGAATAGATGGCCTCCTCTCGTTTCGTTTGTAACCCTTCTGTTATGTCCTAAGTACTGCATCTATGGCTCAGAAACACAAGCTTGTCCGGGCTCAATGAGAGGAACTGGACAGGATTCAACACAAACAGCCACTGCACACTGGATATTCACACATATCAATGCCGCACAGATGTACAACTTGGATTGCGTTCAGCAGTGACCACAATGGGACTTTCACAACACATTCCATTATTACAAACCGCAATATCTGTAAATTAATTGTGGTGATTAAGACAGCAGAATGGTGACAGAGTGGATGGAAGTCAGTAGAATGCTTTAATTACATCTTAGTTAGCTTGGTCAAGACGTTTTTCTAAAAATTGCATAGTGGTTTGCTAGGAAAACAGCATAAGAAGTATGTAAAAATGTTTAGATTATTCGACAATGTTAATTACAGGCAACATCACTGGGTATTATCGGCAATGTGACTAGCTTTCTTGGAAATGTTAAAAAGTAAAGGGTCTGTATGTATAATTTTCCAAAGAATAATCTTACTCATCTGTCTGACATTTAGCTAGTATAAGAGCTCTGTAGTAGTCTACTTGCAATATTGCTCTGGTACGTTTCTAAAGGGTACAGTTTCAAAAAACAGTGAACAGAAGAAAACTACAACAGCAGAATATTTAAAACCTAAAGTTATTTTCTAAACTAAAATAAATGATTTTGGCAAGTCTACCTTCACAGGATTTAGGGCCTTCACTGTGTAATTACAACACAGGACACATTATTTGATCCCTTTAGTTCGTTTAAAGAAAAAAAAATGAACAAAGATCACAATTTTCAGAAACGGCAATCCTCCTCCACTTCCTGGGTTTAAAGACTGCATCGGTATGGCCTCTGATCTGCCAATACTAAAATAGCAGTCAAGAAAACTGCCCACTCCCTCCTAGTCAGGTCACTGGAGACGCTAATAAAGACGCACTGTAAAATCTCTATGAATGAAAGCTTCTCCCAGTACAAATCAATGCTTTGGGTCTGTTTCCAAGACATAGCTTTGAAAATGAACAAATTACAAACAGCACCTCCACACTTTGTTTACACTTAGTTTCCTTTGCAAACACTACATATTTTCCCATTCACAATAAAGTTAGAACTAGTTTTGATGACAGGGTATGGAAAAAAGGTAGAATCACATTATTAAAAGCAAACAACACAAATATAAACTGACAGGGACCCCAAAAGCTGAGGATTACAAAGGCCAATAAAACAAGTGTTAAAACCACATTTTAATCAATTTTTTTTAAAAAAAGAAAAAAGTAAACCAATAAAAACTCCACACTTGAAAGCGTTGGAGATATGGTTTTAAGACTTGGCTACAAGCAGTGGGAATAAAGACCATATTATTGACTTGAAGAAAAGTGAAAGCCAAGTTTTCTCCTCCAACACACACTGGAATGGCTGTTGCTTGAAAACAAGTGCTTTTTTTAACAGTTTGCATCACTGTGGAATTGCATCACTGATATACTGTACGACTAGACACACAAAAGAAAGCCTCATAAACAACACTGAAAAAACGCATATACCCAGATTTAGGCAGTGACAAAGTCTATGATCCAGAATAGAAAACCCACAAGCTGTGCCAACTCCCTAAAGCATCAAGAAGGCCAGCCTGCAGTGAGGAAATCACAAGTGAGGCGCTCTAAAACTGAGCTCGGAGCGTGCTGCAAAAGAAAGGGCAACTCAGGGCTGTATAACTGTGGCTCTCAGTATCTGGAAGTGGGCAGAAAGAGGTCCACCTTCACTTTCCAAGGGTTCAAGTTTCTTGCAACGTAAAAAAAAGAAACAACCTGCAGCATCCCGAACACCAGGGATCACGTTTGGGAGATGCACTCAGCAGTGCCAGCAGGTCGAACCTGGAGAAAAAAGCATGCGTACAGCAACATCCCATTTTTGCATAGTGATATCCGATGAGGACAACAACAGGAAGTAACACCGGAGTGAACCCCTATTTTTTACGATAAATGTTTGCCATGAAACTCGAAGGTGCTGCAAACTAGCCCAAACCTTACAAATCTCTCTAAGGAATATTGCATGTAAAGACTGTCACCAATTGGCAGACTTAATAAAAATTCAAATACTCATCCTTTGTTAAATGAGCACTTATGGCTACTTGCTAAAACGAGAAAAACATACATATCTACTAATCAGTATACGACCTTACTTCCCCCGCCAATACAAGCTCCAAGCATTTTTACCCTTCACTTGACTTTATCTTATCAGAAATTGTAAGGGTATTGTACTAGTTATGGTGTAGAACAAGTTTGAATGCATAATATCTAAATATAATATTAATTCACAAATTAAATCATTTTATACAATGCAATGTTTCATTTTGATTGGAATCACTATGAATGTAAAGCATCAATATCACCAGACAGCTAGGTCTTACTTCTGCAGTTATGGGTTTCATTCTGTTTTTGCACAAGATTCATTAACTATCATAAAAAAACATTTTTTGTTAGAAATATCTTCATAAAACTTTTAAACATAACAGTCTGTGTAAAAAAAGAATTGTAGATAAATGTTGTAACACATACTTAGCAACTTATGTTGCCAAACTATTCTAATACATCAAATAAATTAAATATTGGGCAGTTATGAGCACATGGAATGAATCAGAGATTTGTACATATATTTTAATGGGAACTTAGTGTTGCCATTACAAGTTTTCATCTATTACTGGAAATTTTGGAACAAACTGCACTTGTATAGCCAACGATGAGTGTATACTATTTCACAATAACATTTCTTCTGATTTTACTAGCTACAGTAGTTCAATTTGTACTAACATTTGTAGCATTTATTGAACACTCAGCCATACTTGGTAGATGAGAATTGTAGTGGATTAATTCATTTGAGAGACCTTACTTTAGCAGCTCCACAGGCTTCTGAATAGATGCAGAAACATTTGCATCTCGTACCTGAAACGAGCAAATTCTTGAGAAATTCAGAAAAACTGGAGACCCAGGGTACGAACGGTTAAGTCTGAAACTGTTTTATATGATGCAGTTTTTTGGTTCAGTGCAACACTAACATCATACTAGACAAATTCAAGAAAACCAATAAAAATTACAAAATAAAATGAAACATTTAAGTAGTGTTGTGAAAAAGTTCCTTCCTGATTTCCTCTATTATTGCAGGTTTTTGACACTCTGAATGTTTTCAGGTCTTCAACCAAAATCTAATATTAGATAAAGGGAACCTGAGTGAACAAATAACACTTTTTTTTACTTATTTAATTTATTCAATGAACAAAGTTATCCAACACCAACTGGCACTGTGTGAAAAAGTAATTGCCCCCTTAGTGAAATCAACCCAATTAAAGGGATAATTAGTCAGTTGATTGAACACAGCCAGGCTTGATTACAGCCAGCCCTGCTCGATATAAACCTCACTTATTTTGACCCTTACCCTCAGAGTCAAGCTGCCAGCACAAAGATTCAACAAGCACATTATGCCATGATCAAAGAACATTTCTGAAGAGATCAGAAAAAAAAGTTGTTGATATCCATCAGTCTGGAAAGGGTTACAAAGCCATTTCTAAGGCTCTGGGACTCACCGAACCACAGTGAGAGCCATAATCTCCAAATGGAGAACACTTGCAACAATAGTGAATCTTCCCAGAAGTGGCCGACCTGCCAAAATTTCTCCAAGGGCGCAGCGGAAAATCATCCAGGAAGTCACAAAGGATCTTAAAAAAAACATCCAAAGAACTGCAGGCTTCTCTTTCCTCAGCTAAGGTTAATGTTCATGACTCCACAATCAGAAGAGACTGGGCAAAAATGGGCTTAATGGGAGAGCAGCAAGGAGGAAACCACTGCTAACCGAGAAGAACATAAATGCTCGTCTCTCATTTGCCAGGAAGCACCTGCATGATCCCCAAGCCTTTGGGAAAATGTTCTTTGGGAAAAGTGGAACTTTATGGACAACATGGGTCCCATTATATCCGATGTGAAGCAAACACAGCATTCAACAGTAAGGGCATCATACCAACAGTCAAACATGGTGGTGGGAGTGTGATGGAGTGGGGATGCTCTGCTCCCTCAGGACCTAGATGACTTGCCATAATTGAAGGAAACATGAATTCTACTCTGTATCAGAAAATTCTTAAGAAGAATGTCCAGTCACCCGTCTGTGAGCTGATTCGTAGTTGGGTCATGCAGCTCGAAAACCTGCCCATGTTTCTGAATTAAAACAGTTCTGTCAGGACAAGTGGGCTAAAATTCCTCCACAGCGATGTGAAAGACTGATATTGAATTATAGGAAGCATTTGGTTGCAGTCATTGCAGCTAAAGGTGGCACAACCAGTTATTAAGTGTAAGGGGGCAATTACCTTTTCACAAGGGATATGGGTGTTGGATAACTTTGTTTTTTAAATAAATGAAATAATCAAATTAAAAAGTGTTATTAGTTCACTCAGGTTCCCTTTATCCAATAGCAGACTTTCTCTAAAGATCTGAGAACATCCAGTGTAACAAATATGCAATAATAGAGGAAATCAGGCAAATACTTTTTCACGGCACTGTACATCAATGGTTCCTGTTAAAAAATAAAAAATAACACTTTGCACTTTTTGCCCATTTAACATTATTCCATTGAACAATGAGGTATTAAACTCAATTACTGCTAGTGTTCAGCAAAAGCCTTATGTTGTAGAAAATCCTGTTAGAAATTATACCTTGAAGTGCCTAAATCATTGGACACAAAAGGCCCTATTCTGGAAAATCCTTGAGACACAAGCCAGTTTCTCATTGTACAAGTTGTCAGCTGCTCTGCTTAAGCCTAAAAAAACAGGCTACTTGATGGTCTCTGTAATGTTCGTAAGACCACAGATATTACCTCCCTTGACATGGACATTATTTGCACATAGGGTGTGAAAAACTAAAAATAAGCAGGCATTACCTTCATTACGTATGCATACAGGAGCCAAAGCCGACGAAGCACTGACTCAACTTACTGATACAAATGGACGCTTTTTATACAAAATCACAAACGGAAAACCCACCCAGAATAGTTTCAGTCCAATTCCATGCCATATATGGTATAAAGCCACGGCTGCTAGCCTTGGTACATGATAAAATGTAAGAATATTCTTGGGTTCCTTTAATTATTGTTTAAGCAGACAACTTCCAGATTTTGTCAATCATGGCTTAGGCAGATATCAGGCACTCTCAGTTCTGCTCAGGGTGCCCGATGCGGGCTCTGCCCCTCACGTTCCATGCATGTTGCCAGCTCACGCTTAAGTTGCAGTTAGCAATTTTCCATTCTTCTAGCAGGATAGTTAGTAAAATGATGCTAGTAAATTTACACAGTAAAGGCAAAAAAGGATGAAATAGAGAATAAAATGTTTGATCCCTCATGACTTGGGTAGAAAAAGTACGTATTATTTTATGTACATGTGCACCAACATTTTGTTTAAATTCATGACTGAGATTTGTCTGGATTATATGTACAAGCCTTTGTCCACAATGGATCTCCTCAGGTGAATGAATTCAGATGTTAAATTAAAAACACCTACTAGACATGACCTTTGCAGAAAGGACAATAAGACATAAAGGAAATAACCTTCAAAAGATTCCAAAGTAAAGGCAGAAAAACTGACCTGAGTTTCGAGGACAAGCCAGACAGGTGCCCTATTCACAAAAACAACAAACCCTCTATGCAGAAATGCTTAGTAAAGAAGCCGCCCCTAGAGATGATAAAAACCAGAATTTCCCTCATTGCCCAAGAATAATGTTCTCAAATAATGTCTCAATTGCATTTCTTGATAAACCCATTATTTAATAAAATGCTGCTGCCACTGATTATAACCAAAGGAGATGGGCCAATAAACTATGCCACACTTTAGAGGACAGAGGACTAAATTGTTTTAATAAGAATCGGCTAGAATCCGCTGGAAAATCCTGAACTTTCAGTCTGCCCACTTCCCCTTTTGACAAACATGTCAAATTGCAGTTTCACAATCAGGAGGATCATATGGTGTCATCGACCATAGGGTGTCACTGTAGTTCATCTTGCATTGAATGTGCTCATATCTCTCAGTCCCTCCCTGGCCAGCGTCTGGCACAATACACATGGTACAGTTACCAGAAAATGGAATTTTATTTGGTTTTGCTTAGCAAGTCATCTTAATTCTTTTTAGAAGGATACTGCCACATACTTGTATACCACCACTGCTGCTGACCTAACCCTCTGCAGACCTCCAGACTTCAGACCATCTGAACAAGTCATAAGGAAAACTGATGCTATTTTTTTCCCAGTGTACTCAATCTTAAAACATGCATTTAACTTTTTCTAAAATTTAGTATTTTCAATGTAGTAGAAGTCAGTTTTTTAATAAGCACAATCAGGTGCAATGTGGAACTTTTTAAATCATGTGTCATAGCACCAAACAGTAAAAAAAGCATTTCTGCCACTGAGATGGTTTAACGATACAAATAGGTTAAACTTTCTTTTTTACTGATACGATTGATTCTTCCATCAGTAAATCAGTGCTTACCTATGACTTGATCTTTACAAAGTTCAAACAGATTCAATCAACAGGGAAGAAAAGTAAAAAAAAAATAACACAACAGTGCACATTTAAAAGAACACATTACACTATGGAACAGAAGCAGGGAAATACTAGAACTTCCATTTTAGTGCCAGGCATACATACCACGAGCTATTTCAATATATTAATGTGAACTCAGTTTTAACAAACAACGAGGTGGTTGTACACAAATCCTGTAATGGAATGTACTGGAAGATCTGGTATTTGACTACTCTTGTTCTCCCACCCCCACCACACACCCCTTAACAGGTGCTATTATTAATGCTATTGTCAAACTAAACAGTTTCTTTCTCTTCCAGGGCAGGTCACTTAACCTCCAGAGCCCTCACAGCCTGCCTTCCTTGTGCCCTGGCAGGTACCCACTTCACTTTGGCTTTCCTCAATTCCGTGGCCCTCCTAGCGCCCGGCCTAGCTGTGTCCCTGGGCCCCGCCCTCGGAGATGCTGTCCACTGCCGAGGTCCGCTGGGCACCGGCCCCCAAGTCCACAAACATGTGTGGGATCTCACTCCCGAAGTAGATCTTGCTGTTGGCCGCAATGGCCTTGAACTTCATCAGCTGGAGGTACTCCGGGGTCAGCTTGAGCTGCAGAGAGAAACGGGTGGGGGTTAGAGAGGAAATGGACAAATAAGTTCTCACCCAGGACCCAGCCTCCTATGCCCCACGCCACAAAGTAGTGACCAGTCTAGGTCCTGGAAATTCCCAGGTACCATTTGCTTTGGCGATACATGCTCATGACTCAGGGCAGCCCAAGAAAAAAAGGAGTACTATGCAGATAGAATCAGCATCCTCCTGGGATGCAAAAAAATAAATGTTTCATTAATGCTTGCCATACTTTTCAAATGTCTGCTTGGAAGCATGCAGCCAGAATCCCACAGATCACATGGTAGGAGTGTTTAATGCACCAGCATTTCAAATGCATGACAGCAAACTTCTTCAGCAGCTTCAAGAGACAGGGTTCAAGAATCAGCAAAGGTATCATCCCGGGCAGAACAGCTCTCACTGATGACACTGTAAGCTGTCAGAGGCCAAGGTAGTAGCCGAGGTAAAGAATTTCCTATTCTGCCTCAAACATCCAACCCAACAACCAGGCACACATGGCACAGAACTACAGTATACTATGGGATCAACCCAGATTAAAACCAGTAGCCACGGCAAGGCTAAAAGACATCTAGCACTCAGATAGCAGGGGCCAGTCTCCCCGATCAGCTACTGAGAAGCCTTACATCTTCTAATCAATGATAAGGGATAAATGAACAAGAATGGACCTGACATGTAAAAAAAAACAAACACTCCTGCCAAACATGAACAGACAGTAATGGAAATTTCATAACATTGAAAGGAGTCAAGAAAATCTTTATGAGGAAGTCTTAATGTATACAGAAGGCTTCCAACTTAGTTTGCTGAATCCAAAACAGTATAAAAGGAAATACCTGGACACTGTCTTTATTATAGATAAGATTTGAGGAAGATCAGACTGTCCTAAAGAGTCTACATCTCTTAACAGAAGACAGTCCCATGATCAGTCACCTTGTTGGCTTCTGCATTCTTACGGGCAGTGTAGAACTCAGCATCCGCTCGTGCTTTTTCTCTGGCCAAGTAGGCAGCATCTAGGAAAACAAAGAGTTGAGTGGGCAACAGAGAAGCAGAGAGAGAGAGATCCTTAGATTTAGATCCCCTCAACCATCATCAGTGAGCTCCAGACTACCTGGGCAGCAGACATCCTCCTCAGTACAGAGGAACAGTCTCCAACCTAAAATCATGTTGCACAGCACAGTTTATCTAAGAACTCAATTTAAGTGCAAAAAGAAGCCAAAGGCATACAGGCCCCCAGCTAGATACTAGACTCCCTTGCCATGGTATGAGACCTAAGTGGAGTGAACAACCCAAAGCTGAGACAGACCTTGACAAAGTCCAGGCTCAGCAACTACAGGCTACAGTAAGGATCGACTGACACAGGCAAACGAAGACCTGGAGACAGTGTGGGCGTGGGAAGAAAGACGTAAAACAGTTTCTGTACCATGCTAAGTACACACCGGTGAGAGGCCCTTACCACCCCCCAGCATAACCCGCAGGACATTTTACTACAACCAAGTTTAGTACAGAAGTTAAACCGCTGACAAGACTCAGAGAAACACAAACAGACAACACGAGAAACCAGCTCATGGCACAGTCGTTGTGCACGGCTCCAATCTGTACATAAGCTCAGAGATAAATGTTCCTTAAGTGTGAATAAGTGATCATGGATTACTTATTCAACAGATATTTAAAAGTATCTGAACAGTAGAATATATAACCTTGGAGAGGCAGAAATAACCTCTCGCAACATATTACAATATCTAATATGTAACATACTGTATGGCTGCCAGCAACCATATCACCCTGCAACTTACAACTGACAACCCACTGCAGCTCAGCAGGTGTGAGCCTGGTCAGTATCTGGATGGGAAACCCTAAAGTTGTTGCTGGAAGAGGTGTTAGTAGGACCAGCAGGGGGCGCTCACCCTGCTCTCTATGTGGGTCCTAATGCCCAGTATAGTGACGGGGACACTATACAGAAATAAGGCGCCATCCTTTGGATTAAGACGTAAAACCGAGGTCCTGACTCTTCATGGTCATTAAAAATCCCAGAGAGTTTCTCGAAAAGAGTAGGGGTGTAACCCCAGTGTCCTGGCCAAATTTCCCTTTGGCTCTTACCAATCATGGCCTCCTAATAATCCCCATCTATGAATTGGCTTCATTACTCTGTTCTCCTCCCCACCGATAGTTGATGTGTGGTGAGCATTCTGGCGCATTATGACTGCCGTTGCATCATCCAGGTAGGGGCTACACATTGGTGGTACTGGAGGGGAGTCCCCATTATCTGTAAAGCACTTCGAATGGAATGTCCAGAGAAGTGCTATATAAGTGTAAGCAATTAATAATTATTATCATATTAACATTACAAAAATACTACACAGTGTACAGTAGAACATGATTTTGTGCATTCAAATCCATCTTATGTATATGAAGACAGTCTTGACAAATCTTTTTAAAACATCCAAATCTTTTCTGCTAGGAAAAATGGTACGAGTCATGAAATTACAGCTGACAAACTTTTAAACAAATCTAGGAATTTTACTGAAGCAATCTGTGTAGAGAAGCGTGATTTGAACCTACAGCCTTTCAGCTACAGGTTTAGAACGTGCAATTATTCTCTTAATACTCACAAAATAAAGTCTTGAAATCTGTGCAACATAATCTGATTCATGTCAGTATATCAGCACTGAGGCATACTCTGCTTTAAAAAGCAAAGTCAATGTATTTACTTTTTGTATTTGCTTCTGTTGCAATCGTTTGAACAACACCTGTTGTTTTTTGATGAGAAACTTTGTTGCAAATATCGCATGATCCAAAGAACAGAATAACACAAGATTTAATGATGAAGTGGAAGTGATTTTAAAGACTTCAAGACAAATCCCAGCCTCACTGAACTTGAAAATTATGATCTATATAGGACCAGCTTGTGTTTGGGGCCAGGAATCATGGACAAGATCAGCATGAAGGCAATCTGAGAGGAGCACATCTGAACAGGTTTCAACATTGATGAAACCCCCCAAAGTTTCACAACAATCAGTACAGGGGTTTTTCAGAAGAAAAATGCAGTCAAATTGTCGTCATCTTACACAGAAAATCTACCAAGCTTGGAGTTAATTGGCCACATCATTAAACAGGAACAGTTAACATTACTTGAGATACGTTTCTCCAAACACTGCTCTTTGGAAGCCTAATAATTTTGAAACTTAATTTTAAATCAGGGATAAAAAAAGTCACAACCTTAATGTTAAACATCATATTTAACATCTTTAGACGTTGTCATGCTAATAAAGATTTTTTTAAAACTAAGTTTGTTAAAAGAGAAGCTTGGGAAGGCCTACTGAGAAGCAGTTGAATATTTAAAACATCTGTGGCCCTGAACTATCCAAACATAGCACTTGAGTCATATCCATGGGTTGTTTTCAGACTTCGAGTTACAACCTTTTTATTAAATTATTTCGTAAAGAGCTGAGTTTTAGAACTTCTACTAGACAAATATAACTGAAATTAAATCAATCAAGGGAAAATAAAATATCGCTTTTTAAACAAGTACATGACAATTCCGAAAACGGAAAGGACATTTTATTGTTTTGCTGAAAAATATTTAGTGTCTCCACCTTGTTTTGATGTTCTCTAAATAATCATGAAACAGAACTTAATGTTGTGTGAAATCTCTCTGACTATTAATCAAAAATTAATCATGATCTCACAGCAAATATTACACTCCACAACTACACAGAGTAAATTCAGAAGATGTAGACAATAATTTTACTGTGGGAAACAAATTGTATTAATAAGCATATTTGGCTACAGACTGCTTGGCTGGAGAGATGTTTGTCTTGTGAAATGACTACATCTGAAACTCCTTATGATTACCCACTGCTGAGAAAAAGGGTCACTACTTATATGCTAGAGAGCATGAAGAGAGGAAATTCGGGTTTTCTTCAACCCCTGAACTTTCAACATGGATTCCAACAAACAGTTTAACGAAAAACCTGTTTTTAAAACTTGGCAGCAGCAAAGGAATAATTTAATTTAATAGTAAATTATAATAGAACCATTTTTAGTCTCTCTTTAAAGGACGAGAAAGAAACAAAATCTACAAATCTGTAAATGGGTTTGACTACTTGCTGGGCAGCAAGGTGGAACTGCCAATCAATTAAAGTGATTTTTAAATATACAGTAGTCTCCTTTATACACGTTTCACACAACCAAGTATCACTTAAAACATAGAAAACCTCATTAAAAACGCAGCATTTGTGCTGCAGGAAGGTTTTCAAGTAAAGCTGAATTTATGCAAGTCAACCTTTGCTTAGCCAGGGGAAAGGCTGTATAACAATGTAGCACTTTTGAATGGATGTGTAACAGTACGATGGCATTCCAGCAATCTGAAGTCAAACAAAGATGACTAACTAGCTTCTTTCAAGGAGATCATTAAATCAATGAGCTACATTTGTAGCTCCATGACTAACACAGCAAATAAACATCTGGCAATAATTTTAATATATTATCAGAACAGCTGGTGAAGCCATTAAGCAAAAGCAGTACAAACTCACACAAAAAATACAATGCCTCTGTTGCTTCGATTGCATTTGTAACAGTAAGCAAAAGTAAAGTGATGATCAAGATATTTACTTTTTAGCTAGCTGTGCAAGGATTTTTCTAGATGCTACTTGAAAATAATTAAAAACCAAATAAAAAAATCCTATAACCCACAACTTGCGTTGGATAAATAACTGTAGCTGTTCACTGCTGGCAGTTCAGCTGGTCCTTGCAGAATTACGATAAGATCACTTTATTGGCCATATACAATTTCTTGTATTAGGAATTTGTATTTTCACATACCCCAGCTTGCTCTCCATGAGACACACAGTCAGGGAGAGAAGCTTGGGGTCAGAGTGCAGGGTCAGCCATTTATACAGCGCCCCTGGAGCAGTTGGGGTTAAGGGCCTTCCTCAGGGGCCCTACGGAGTAGGATTCCTCTGCCAGCCGTGGGATATGAACCGGCAACCTTGCAGCCACAGGCACAGATCCTTAGCCACAGAGCCACCACATCGCATTATCTCCTAAATCATTCCTCCTGGATCTCAGGTTCAGTATAGTAAACAGTGATTTCTGAGAAAATTCGCTTCTTTTTAATAAATATCCCCTATCTACCATAAAAAAACATCCAAAAATATTAAATAGTACACAAGTCCTATAGATTCTTCTGGCTCTTAATTTCTGTTAATCTGCACTTCTGAATACAATTTAAATTAATCTTCAATAGGGATTTGAAAAGTAACTAATGGATTTTTACTGTTTTTGAGTGTAAATGATGAACACTATCACGCACATCATAAAGGGGAAATGCAACACTTTTTACATTTCAAGGTTAGAAATCGACATTGATGAGTGCATTTCAAACCACGAGTGAGATGAAGCAGCCCTTTTACAATGTAAACAAGATCTTAGAAGAAAGCATGCTTTTCATAGCAGAATCTAGGAATTCTTAATGCTCACTAATTTTAAGAGCTGATCTGCTCCTTGTGTTTATGTCATCTTAGCAAACTTCGAATTTATATAATACAGAAGAACAATTAGACTGCAAAAAGACTGCAGCTTGAATTGTACTGAGAAGTGCTTATTCAAGAGGATGTTAATGCAAAATGAATCCTGCAACTATTTAAAAAAAAATTATACCTCCAAACTTATTTTAGGGGTGACAATCTAGAATATGGTTAAAATGGGGGAAATTCAAAAATAGATCTTAACCACATTAAAAATCTCCCTCTACACACTTGTGCTTTTATATTCTACAATGTGCTTTCCATTGTAAGCATATGGGTTTACTAGTGTGTATCTACTAGTCGGTCTCTTCACTCTGCCTTTGTCTGCTTCAGCTCAGTAACATCTGTCTACTTCTGTGAGTGGATGTACATTCATCTCATGGCGATGCCCTTCACTGAGCACAAAGCAGTGACTGCGAGTCAGAGGAGATGGCTGGATTACTGACAGGAGAGCTGTCACTACTGACGGCTGTCAACATTTCCATTCTACGTTCCCAAACGTTCACCTTCAATCTCCGAGATCTTTTTTTCCGTCTCCTTCTCCATCACCTTCTGCCCATACTTGATCTCTGCCACCTGGGCCAGCTTTTCCGCCTCTGTGTAGGATAGAAACAGAATGAATTAATGGGTGAACAAACAGATGAAGGTATCGGTTTAATAAGAGAAAGGGCACCGTTATCCCACATTAGGGGATAAAATTAAATTAAAATTTAATTTATAACTAAAATTAAAACATGTTTAAGTCTCCTATCTTATAATACAGCACAAATGCAATGCTTTGTTGATGTTAAATAGGTTCCTAATCTGAGATGTCATAAATCCTGAGTCTACAGGCTTATTTTGTTACTTTGAAACAGTCACGATTTCAGGAGTTCTGTCCTTAAAACATTTAATTTGCACTCACATGTAAGAAAAGTGGAGAAAGGCAGAGATGCACCCGTTTAAAAAAAATGTTTTTCATTTGAGTGCATGTGATGTATTTTTTGACAGATATACTGTACCATCTTTTAATTATCTCTTTTTAACATTGAACCATATTAACCGACTTAGGTTGAGGCTGCACATTTTTGCCTCACAGTACTGGAGTCCTGGGCTCAATCCCTGGGGTGCTGTCTGTATGGAGTTTGTACGTTCTCCCCATGTTAACACAGGTTTCCTCCCACAGTTCAAAGACATACTGATAGGTTTCTGGTAAAAATGGCCCTGTTGTGAGTGAATGTGTGTTTGTGTCTATCTTTTCCCTGTGATGGACTGGTGTCCTGTCCAGGGTGTATCCTGCCTTACACCTCTTGCATGCTCAGAAGGCTCTGGCTCTCCCAGAAAACTGGATAAAGCAGTTAAAAAAAGAATTAACTGACTACCCATCTTGCTCTGTTTTGCAATTCCACCCCCAAATAAATTCACTGCTCTCTTTTTAACAGTGAAGGACTAATACTTAGACAGTTTTAATGATGTCCCATAACTTGTCAGTGAATGCAGAGTGGAATGTGCATCTTTCAGATGAACCAGGTGGTGGCACAAACCTATAGATCGACTTCTGATACCACATCCCACCCTTTAAGGGAAACAACCAATCACAGCTCATCATCACCAAGTACTTCGATGTCTCAGACATCTCCAAATTTCATTTCAGCCCCGCCCTCCTCACCTACCAATCACAGCTCTCTTCCTCTCCGTTTCTGCCTCTTTCTCCACTACTTTCTGAGTCTGCGCTGCGATCAGCAGCTTCGTTTTCTCACTTTCCCTAGTGAGAGAGTAAAAAAAACAAAAACAAACCTAAAGCAGGCCTGAGACGTGCCACGCTTACACTTCACATTTCCATGTCATATGCCGCACACAGCAGTGACATACTGTACATAGAAAGAGTGAAAAAGGAATAAGAGGAGAAATGGAACCTAAAGCAAAATGCAGTTAAGACTGGCAACAAGAGGCACTTTGTCTTTTACACAAAGGATTGTGGGAACAAACTACATAGCCATGCTGTCAAAACCGAGAACAAAGCTACTTTCATGAAATGGCTGGAAGAGAGCTTTGGATCACCTAGCTACAAAAGACCGAACAAGTTCTATGCCAAATGGCCTCCTCCCATCTGCATACTTAATCGTTTTATAGACAGGCATGCCCCCCTTAAATTCTTCATGCTTGATTATTTATTAACAAGGAAAAATGCTAAAAATGTTGACTTAACTAATGACTCAAACAAATACTTAAATGAAAAGGCATATAAATGATTATCTGTCCTTAACTCACTCAAACCAAGCAAAAGCTGACTGAGTTTGGTATGTAATGCTTAAAATTTACTAGAAGCTTAGAAGAGAACACAGACATTTTGAATACAAGATCTTTCAATGAATGAGAATCCTTCTGCTGATTCCCAAGACCATTAATCCTCAGAAGAAAGCTTTTCCTTTCTTAGCTTTATGTCAGAAATTGATTTATCGCCCCACAAAACAACTGACATACATCCTTTCAAACAAGGAATGCAAGCAGTAGAGAACTTACATTAGCTCGTAGTTTCTGCGTATGGATTCTGGAATGTTGGGTTTTGTAACACGAACAGCCTTGAAGGCAAGAGGAAAAAAAGGAAGAGGCGGGAAATGAAACACCAATCCAAGTTTATATTATGATTTATCTCATCTTTGGCCCTTTGTGGTCAGCTACCATGCATTACAGGAAGTGTTGTATAAACAGGCATTAAGAAAATAATGGAAAAAAGTCTAAAACACATACACAAATACTACTTGGAAGGTCTTAATTAAAACAGAAAAAATGCTTGGGAGAAAATAAGAGTAGGGATGTTTTGTTGTTACATGTTCCATAATCAATGTTCATAATGTTCATAATCAAATTTCAGGTAAGCAGTCAACACTATAAAGCATACTGTATCGAAACAAGATTTTACACTTCTTTGCATAAGGATTCTAATCCGTGCACAGTTTTTACATTATGTTGCTTTAAAGCTTGGAGTATTTGACACTTTAAAGTAGCAAGTCGTATTTATTATAAACCAAACCAAAAGGCAAGAAGTAAATAGATTACAAAATTAAATAAAAATCTATCCCCCAAATCTACATCTCTAACAGAAAATATCTGCATATCTGTATCAGTTTCAGCCATCAATCATATAGATAAAAGATAAAAAATAAAAAAATAAGATTATAAAGCACTTTTCTTTTAGAGAAGAAACCATTTTAGAATTCCTTTAACTTGTCTGGCAAAATGCAGTTGCATTATTAATGTGGTGTGACGACAGCAGATAATGCTGGAATCAAACTGTCATGCAAAACTGAGTCCTCTGCCACAGCCTATAATAACTGCCTAAATGTACTCCATTCCTTCTCTCACCTGTATGATGAGGCCAGGGGCCATGGTGGTCAGATCCTTCTGCAGAGCCAGTTTAAGGTTCTCATCAATCTGATCTGTGAAGACAAAGCCAGGGAGAACACTCAGCCACTATGACCTAATAAAACCATGGAAGCATTAATACCTAAACGCTTGTAGCGTAGCATGAGGTAGGTATTGGATCCAAGATGGATCCAGTCACCAAGTTCATTGTCAATATCCATAAACACATGAAGTATTCTATCCAAGGACATCTTAAATTTACACAGTAAGCTAAAACTGTGAACCCTTAGTAATTGTTGCAAAACGTTTTCCCTGGAAGAGGGCAAAATGCTTCCAGTAACCTTTATGGATCTGCAGTCCAGACAACTTACTAACAGTAATTTTTGCATGACTCATGAGGTTGTTTTGCACTGACAAGGATCTGAAGGAAAGAGGAATGCGAGATAGATTATCTTTGAATGCAATAGCTCTGGATACACTTTCACGGCAAAACCTGATGAAGTTTGAAATGTGCTTTTACGTCACCGCCAGCTGCGATTCTTGCTAGCAAAGGAATTCGAGTGCTCGCATGGCCACCACAAAAACCAAATCAGGAACTATACTATATTCATCACCTTTTGAGAAGAACTCTGGAGACAAAAGTTCACACAGTTCACACAGATGGCTTCTGTCTTTCATTACAAAGCCTGGCTTATTTCACACAACTCGAGTGGATCACTATTCTTTGAGAATATTTTTTTCCACTTGAGATAAAATACACATTTGATTTTCTGTTGCCTCCATATGAAATCACTAATGATTGACATGCAGCAATCCAGAATCAAATATAATTGTTTCCGTTTCACATTTTAAGTTCCAGTTTGCAAAAAAAGCCATGTTGTTATATAATCAGTTTTTTTATATTACTTAAATATTTAACAGTTTTTCATGGTCACATGCCATTTAATTTACATATGAGGACACGGAAGTGCAGGGATTCTGAGCAAAAATACACTCATTCTGACTTACAATTAGTGGACACAAAAAATGGAAAGCCTAGGGTATATGAAGGAAGACTAGATCAGTATTTTGAGACCAAGCTCTTCCACCACTGTGATTCATGCACTAATTAAGCAAATATCCCTAAATACTCTGGGTAATGAATACAAGTCTGGACAGGCCTGTAATTTTGGATCAGTTTAAAATCATTATGGCTGGCATGACAGCAAGAGAGCTCAGTGACTTTGAAAGAGGGTGAGTGTTAAAACGCATTTGGCAGGACCTAACTGATGTATTCAGTGACCAGGAGCGCACAACATGCCGATGTTACACAAGCAAGTGTCTAAGAAGAAGTCAGCTTGGAACTCTGATGGGGGGGGGGGATGTCATTAGCAAAGGGCAAAAGAGGCGATCACTGCAAATCAACAGATTTCACATTTTAACTTGGGGTGTGAGTAGCCAGTTTCATCTAAAATGGTCTGCTGAGATCTCTGTGAACGGGACATTGCAGTCAGGTTACAATGCATAAGCCCGCTCATCACACCAGCAATGCACGTGGAGAAAGTGCAGTGGAGAAATGTGACGTGGTCAAATGAAACATCCTCCACCAACAAAAGGACGAGTGTTTGAGTGCACTCATTCCTTTAGAAGTCAAGTTCAATGTTAATTAAAACAAAAATGTGAGCGATCATCTTCACACCATTTTGCAGCACTTCTTTCCTGCTGTGAGGAGTTCCATCCAGCATGATGGCGGCCATCCTTCGAGCACGTGTGGTTGCCCAGTGGTTTGATGTACGAGACACTGAGCTTAACCATACTATATATCATGGTTTTCTCAGTCACCAGATCTGACCCAAATTGAGCATTAATGGGGTACTCCTGAATGACGTCCCAGTCAGTGTTTTCCTCCCCCGTCAACCAGAAATGAGTTTATTGCCGTTTAGACTATGCCTTGGTGCATGCAGGCCTTACTAGCTGCTCATGATGGCCCAATGACCTATGAAGTGTGTATTTTTACCACTATCTGTATGTCAACTCTAAAGTTCCCTTTTGTTCCACAGTTTCCTATAAAAAGCTTGTTCAGCTCCAATGCTGCAATCAAATTGGGTTGATCATTGCAGGCAACACAAAAATGTAAAAAAACAACTAATATAATTGCTAAGAAACAAAATAAAACTGATTTACCAAATGTTTTTTGCTATACTGATTATAGTGCAAAGAAAATACTGAAAGTCATTCAGCAAGTTCCTCCTTGGCACAATATGCACTCTAAAACTTATCTACGGTAAATATTTTCTGGTGCGCCCTCTGGTGTCACTTTTCATGAAATGCACTGGGTTGGGATTAAGCAGTATTTTTCAGCTGTTTCAGTGGAAAACTGAGAACATCATTCACTTTTCAGGAAAAACAGCCTAACTCTGTTAATATTAAGCAAACACAGAGCATCTTCTAGACCATTTTAAATTAGTTTCCTATTAATTTAGGAGTATTTCCAATGTTGAGAGTTTTTTTCCTCACCACGTAATTATTTTTTTTTTTGCACAAAGTGTCCCACTGCACTTATACAGTAGGAGCCACAGCACAATTATCAGAAGCAATGAGGAGATCACAGTACAGCAGAGGGAGTGCATTTCTCACCAAAGAGCTCAATGTAGACTTCTTGGAGGGTGTGCACACTGCAGAACTGGTTCAGCTCGTGATGAATCTTGTTGAAGATCAGGGCCTTGTCATAGTCTGCAGTGAAGTTCCTCACAATATCGTATACTCCAGGTAGAGACAAAGAGAGTGGGAGAGAGACTCAGATTCATGCATGCTCACATGGGTTTTCTCCAGATGTGCCAGTTTCCTCTCATCTTTTTAATAACATGCTGGCTGTGTGTTGAGACTAGCATACCATCCGAGGTGTGATCCCACCTTACAGCAACACCAATTAGAGACTATAACAAGAACAAGCAGCCTTCTAACGACTGACAGATGGAGATGTGATAAACGTGCATGATTAAAGGACCATGTAACCATGTGAATAATGGATGTGCCACTGTAGGTAAGGGAATTACCTGCTGAAGGGATGAGAAAGTTGACCACCTCTATCCTGTCAAAGTAGATCATAACACCGCCACTGCCAAGAGATCATAGAAACCGGAGTGAGGAAACAAATCTGTTCTCACTTCAGTTGTAGTCTATACCCGTGTTGTAATAGGAGTATATCTTTAATATTTGCAGGTGTAACTTGTACAGACCAGAAATCAAGATACAGATATAGAGTAAATATACAGGTGCTGAAGAACACAATAACAGTTGGAAGCAGGAGGAGGCCATTTCCTCGTGTGGTAAAAGATAAGCCAGTGAAAACTCATTATCAAGATTGTTCAACGCTGCCAAACCACTGTGAAAGAACAGTAATATTAGCACTAGTGGTAATCTGAACTATTCGAGTTATAATCAGTATTATTCAAATAAAGGCAAGCAAGAAAACCCATCAATATCTCACCTTGTTCCACAAGGGACGTTTTTAACCTCATCTGTTTGTAATGTCGTCTGCAGAATAAAGAACAAGAATGAACCAAACAGTGCAGAAAGCAAAAACATCAATGCACTATAACTATGTAGCTTCAATACTGATCTTATAAGAAAAGGGCTGTTGAGTGAGATAGTTTAATTTCATGGGATCAATCCAACCATGTGATCTGTTACACACTTTCTGTATTTAGTAATCACAAGTGGATCTCCAATAAACTGAACTTTGTTTTAGCTCAATGATGCCTTTGTAAAATGCCCATACCGTATACAGTTGTAAAAGCTTGCAAAAGATAAATCTTCCAGTCTGTCACCACTTGATTCATTTAGGAAAAAAAAAGATTCATCTCCTGCCGCTTAACATTATGGAAAAAAAAAGACATTTCTACAAATAGTTACAAGAAACTTTGACATTTTATGAATTTCGGATAGAACTGAGGGATTCATTTGAAGTGGCAAAAACAGTTGTTAGTGTGGCCACAAGCGAAACAAAAGCAAAAGGTTAAAGATCTTGAACTCAAACTTGGAAAAACTGCCTTCATTCCAATTTCATGCAGATTCTACAGTTCTATGTATGGATAGATACAAACGCTCTATTTGTATTCAACAATTAAAAAAAAAAGTACAGAGTTACAAAGGCAAACGTTCACACGAATACCCACCTGCACCGATTTGTAAGAGGTGATGAAGGGCAACATTAGATGGAACCCAGGACCACTGGTGGACGTCAAGAGGGCACCACCCCTGCAGAAGGCAAGGAAAACAGTGAAAGTGACTGAGAAAGAGGAAAAATAAAGCCGTGACTATAACCCATCCATTTTCTGACCACTGTATCCAATACAGGGTCACGGAGAAGCCGGAGCCTATCCTGGAAAGCAACAGGCACAAGGCTTGATACCCCCTGACAATGACACACAAGTTTATTGCGAGGCACACACAGAACCACTCATACCAGGGCCAATTTTCCCAGATGCCAATTAACCTACCAGTATGTCTCTGGACTGTTGGAGGAAACCCACATGAACACAGGAAACACATAACAACTCCACGCAGATAGCACCAGAGGAACTGAACCCAGGGCACCAGCGCCGTGAGGCAGCAATGCTAAGCACTGCACCACCGTGCTGCCCTTGTCACTATAACCACCTTGAAAAGTATTTTAACAGCCCCGTCCATTTGCAGCCCGATTTCATGACTTTGCACCGTTTGAGCAATGCAAAACTCTCGCTCGCGAGCCGCGGGCAGAGCAGACGGGGCACCGGTCGCACCAGTGAAGTGAGCCGTGGCCACTGACCTGTAGTACACCCCGATGTGCCCCTCCTCGATCTTGTGCACAGAGGAGAACAGGGCAGCGGCGGTGATCGCCATGACGACGGAGGCGATGGCGCCGAGCTGCGTCATCCTGGGGGGAAGAAGCAGAAGTCAGACGCGACCCAGGACCGGGAGTTCAGCATCATGTCAGGGCTGCTGGCACTGGACTGCTGACACCCTCTAAGCTGCGGCACACATCGCCTCCATAAAGCAAATGCAATCCAAATAATTATTCTTATTTAGTTAGTTATTCATCAAATACTCCCCCCCCACACAAAGTGTACACTTTGGAGAAACAGGATTCTTCTGATGCAAAAACATCATGTGGATTGGTAATCCGAAGAACAAGTCTTGGAGCCCCCACTCTTAACTGAGAATGTCAGTCATACTGTGCTCATGTGACTGGCTGTTTCCATGTAATAAAACCTCTTCCAGCATCAACACACTGATTCCTGAAGCCCCTTTTTAAAATTTCTTCAGGAAATTCTTCACAGGAACAGTCTATTTAGTGTAAAGTGTAAAGAAAAATAGATCTAAATACCTTCGCATTCCAGTGCCACAACATAGTGGGCAGAATTGTGGTTATTTTTAACACATTTACCAAGGTGCAGATCTCCAAGTTCTAGATAACTCTTCTGCACCTTTATTTCTTTAACTTCATTTGAGGTTATCATCTCAAACTCCTTTCCACAATATAGTGCACAGCTAGTTTTACATAGTGGTTTATGTCACTACACACTGTGTAATATATTAGACTTTTTAAACAAAGCATTGCTTAATCTGCATTGCATCTTGGAGAGGTGCTGGCCAGTGGCTACATAACCCGGTGGAAATAATATTAATTTAAATAACCAATACATTTGTCATGGAAAGCACTGGTTTCGACAACACTTCGAGGATCGCTCAAACTTTGACTCAATGTGCACATTTCCTGGAACTCACTGACCGGTAACCTAAGATCTTAGAACAAATAAGCCAACAGCTGCTCACTCAGAGCAAACCTGCAGCCGGAACTCGCCGGTGTAGGATCTTACAATAGGATATATGACCCCGTCTTTCTCCTGATATTAAGAGGATTCGCCTGAGAGAAGGAGGGAGATTTTATCTGCTCAGCGGTTACTAGTTCGATATAATCCCGTTGTCCGAATTTCAGTACAGCCTGCATTCATTTAAGGTAAATGACCTTTTCAGTCCGCTGCCTTAACTAACATTTTTGTACTTCTTCTGTTGAATAATGTCACCCATACGATGTGATGTTACACGTCTTGCGTCAGGATACAAACAAGGAGCAAATACGCCTGTTATTCCTTTAACTGCTATTCCAACACAGAGCCTTAACGCAACGTCATTTATCTTTATAGTGCAGACAGTCATAATCAGAAGAACACATTCGAAGGTTGGTTAGAGTAACCGAAACTGAAGTTAATTAAGTCCATCTGTGTTTAAGAAATGTATCACACTATGAAGTCCAGACATACATGGTATTGACGACTATGGGATTTTTGAGACAGAAACACCTTTGTATAGTCCAGTGTCGAGATAATTCGGCCCCCGCTTTAAAGTAACATATCTCGAATCGCCTTACCTGTTCGCGTTCGCTCCAGAGAAATTAATCACCTGCACGACCACTTCCGGAAAAGATACAAGCGCTCTAGTGATTTGGTCTGTGATGTCTATGGTAGAATGAAATACATTGTGGTGCAGAGACTGCCATCTACAGTAGCGGAGTGAAACAGATATTACCGACTTAAAGCATATTTTATGTATTGATTAATGCCAAGTGTCCAATCATGTTTTTACTGTAGATGTCTGCTAAATGTTTCTGTTTTGGCAACGCAGTAATGTTTCGGTCATGTCAATAAAGCTCTTGGAATCTGACATTCAGTCCTGGTGATGGAGGGATGACGTGCCTTCTGTTTTCTAGTACACTACAGCCTGCACAGCTGATGACGTGTGTGAAATCAATAGTTCAAAGTAATATTGTTTGTGTTAACAGGGTCCAGGTTGCTTGTACTCACGGGGGATTTAAAATTATTCGGAAAACCTGGTGGACTACACTGTCCAGCCCGAGACGGGGTCTCAATGTAACAGTCCAAGCCAGTCGAACAGAGAGAGGTACAACGATAACTGGAATATGCGCAAGTACCAAAAACAGCAGGAAAAAGGCAGGAAATGCCAAACATTGCTCCCCCACATAATCTCCCCCTGTCGCACAATGTTGGTTGCGTGTACTGTGACATTCCAGCAAGTTTTCTGGGTCACCCTTAACTCACTGATGTCTAAACGCATGCCCAATTTAGTTTTCATCACCTATGCAAGTCGTCACAGAAGTAATTGATGGATTGTTTGAAATAAATACTCTAACTGCAGGAAGCTCATAAGCACCACGGCCCGGCCATTCGCGTTGTAGGAGACCCAACTTACTAAAGAGCTCAAAACTCACATGATATCTTAGGCTTTACAAATAGATGACTTGCAGGTGACCTACCAGACCTGATGGATTCTGACTCTCCCGGGCTAGGGGTGGCTATCCCTGTAATATAATACTTTTTGCTAGCATCGCAAATTGGTCAGTTTCACAAGTAGATTTCTCCCATAGATCTGCAAAATGTTATTGCTCAACATGTAAAGGTAAATGTTAAATTGAAAGATTTTGATATTGTAACGCTCTCGGGTTCACGTGGGTATGCACCCTCGCCACTGCCGCCGCAGGTCGGCCCCCCACCGCTGGGGACTCGAACCCAGGCCTCTGGCGTCACTCCACAGGGACCGAGCCAGCTGAGCTAAAGGGAAGTCTCCCATCAGCCTGGCGGCTGCGGTGATGTCACCGCGCTGGTAAGCCGGCTCGCACAACCTGCAATGTCGGCCGTACGCGTTACACTCTCCCCCGCTTAATTCGCTGTCCTCGGCAAAGGGCTTTCCCATCCCACTCCTGACACCAATGTAGCGCCCTCGCTGCTCCTCCCTCAGGTCAGCCCCCCACCGGTGGGGACTCGAACCCAAGCCTCTGGCATCACTCAGCAGGGACCGCAGCTGATGGGTGATTTAGCTTAAGCTCAACTGGCTGGGTCCCTGTTGAGTGACGCTGGAGGCCTGGGTTCAAGTCCCCATCAGTGGGGGGCCAACCTGAGGTGGCAGTGGCGAGGGTGCATATTCACGTGAGCCCGAGAGCACTACAATATTATTTTATAATTTGTTAGATCTGATTTGGATAAAGGATATGATTTTATTATTAATCTGTTAATTATTCTGGCAAAATACTTTATCCACAAACGTAAATGGTCAAATACTGCTCCCTCTATTCATGCTTTTAAAGTTGAGTTCCTTTTTAATTTAAATTCTATTAGAAATTTAAAGAATCAAAAGGCAAGACATACAATGGAAATATCCAATAAGTTAATATAATTTTTAAATTTATAATTTTTAGTTTTCACAATTGTGAATTCCTCTGGCTTTGAAGTGTCTATTTCTGTATATATTTCATATTATTCTGCCTCCTTTTTTGTATTTCTGGTGTTTTAAAAAAAAATTAAGAAAACATATTTATCCCATAATGCCCAAAGTGCCTGCGTCATTGAATCGCGCCTGATACGTTCGTGAGGACACGAGAGGTGATAATCGCTTGTCATGTTTGCCAACAGAGGGAGACAAAGACTGTTTGATTTTATAGTTGCCTCGCGAAAGAAACGCGTGCAATGTAGGCAGGTATTGTGAACTGTGAATGCTGCAGTTTTATCCACCGTTTCAGTCCAGTGTCATGTAGCTTTCTCAAATCACAATTTCCTCTTACAGTGATTGGTTTAAAGAAACTCCTACCAACATTTCACCGTTAGAAAAAATAAATGCGCACGTTGCACGTAATGTGTTAATGTGTATTAACATTAAAATAAAATACATCACATGAGGCCAGATTTCACTCCGTGTCCTTATTGATGCAGGAACTCTGACAATCCGTGGGTTCTTTTCAAATGCCCTGAGAAATTCATAGGCACATTTACTTTCTTATTCTTTATGAAAATAGTATACATTCACACCATTAATCATTTTTGCAAAAATCAACGACTAGATTTGATCCACTTCTTAGCACAGGCATGTAGAAGCCAGTACTAACACAAGCCAGTAGACAACTTCTGTTTGCGATTTTGGCTCATTTTCTCTTAGAGGAAGTAGGAAGTTTGCATTTGTTTACTCTCTCCTGGCACGTGGCACAGACTGAGCACTGGGAGCCAGAATATTTTCAGGTGGGCATTTTCATAATCACGATTTTCCCTCCCGTGACTTCTCTTTCAACGATCAGCGTCACAATACCTTCGGATGCCCGCGTGATGCTGTGGCTGTGCTGGGCCATGTGGATCAAAAGAGAGAGAGAGAGAATGGGAGGGAGGGAGGGAGGGAGGGTGAAGTCTGTCAGAGTTCATTAAGTGTCTGGGGAACAATGCAGGAACTGGCAACACAGGCAGCGCCAAGCCTGCCGATCATTAATCACTGCTGACAAGCGAACTGGCGAGGGGGAGAGCTGCCAAGGCCTCTGGTAGTGATTACAGTGTAGAAAAGAGAGTGCAGGCTGTTAAAATACCACGCAGTTACTGTACAACACTTAACTTACCTCACAAAAAAAACAGTGATAACGATAAAAGACAGAAAAGTTAGGCGAGTATTTCGTGTCGGCACCTCTGACGTGATGTACTGGATGCGTTTTGCTGTTCTGTGTTAGTTTACTGAGACCGTGAGCTCAGGTGACGGCTGGGGATGGGTCCACCTGCCGAAGCGCACTGGCAGAACCGCCACTCTTCCTCTTTCGGGGTGGGTGTATGCACTGTGTCCCAGAAGGCCTCATGTGAAACAGGAGATAAGGGGTATGGCTACGCATCTGTCCAGCTTCATATGGGACAGTCACGTTTTGTAAGTGGCATGCTATGCAGTGCCCACAAATTTTCTATGAACCAATTTTTGACCTGCTTTGAAGCTGCTGCCCTGTTTTGTACTTTTTCTTCCACGCTTAGTCAAAGACCCAATAGTAATAAAGCATCCAACCCTGAGATTGCCTACGCTGTCTCTGCACTGACTGCCAAGAAGTGCATGTGTGCATCAGGCCTCACTAAAAACTGGGATCCACCACAGAGAAGCACCTCTCACCTCCAACGAAAACAAGCAGAAAAGAAATCCTATCCACCCTTCTCGAGTGGGATAGAAAAAGAGTAAATCGATAATGTCTGCTCCACAAAACAAATTGAAGAGACACAAAATTAATATCTGGAACAGATCAGCAGTCCTCAGGAAGGTTGTCCCAGATTTAGCCCTTGGAAAGCTGGTAGCTTTAACTTTGGAGCAGACCTAAAAACCGTGGGTACAAGAGGATTCTGGAGCATTCCACTCCGTGTAAGGGAGGGGAGGTGCTCATTTTAATACAGCCCGACTATGTGTATCAACAGCTGTTGTCTTTTAAAACACTGTGTCTGTTTTTATTTTGTGTGTGTTTTATTTCTGCGGGAGACTGACAGATATGAAGCATGCTTCAGCAGACCATAGCGTTCTGGTGTTTTCCAATTAGATGAATCATTTGCGCCATAGGAATTAGAAACATAACTGCAGTTATAATAATTTAAAATAATAGTCGTAATGGTTTAATGACAGTTTGAGGCTAGTGAAATGATGTCATTTCTCAGAGGCCTTTGGTCTTCCCATGCAGTCTCATTTGGAAAGTCTTTGAGACCATTAGGGGCGGCACGCTACCCAGTGTAAAACACCTGTTTCAGTCACTGCATACATCCTGCATGTTTGGCCTTTGACCTCTGGGATGCTTGGATATTGTTTTTTATTCGATTTGGATCCATGCGACGGATGGATAAAATCTAATAACCAGGCACGTTTTGTCAGTGGCACTGACTGCATGCTGATATTTCAGGTTCAGGTCTCCACATTCTACTCCGATTTCATTGCAAAATCTCTTTGCATTCCTGACTTGTTTATTTCTGTATCATATTCGTCAGTATACTGCATTTTTAGACATCACGTCATAGTATCCCAGACACCCTCTTCAAATGACTGCGCTGCACAGCACACTCAGTGTGCTTCTCTCCCTGTGGGTGAGACGGGGCTCCTTGGTGACCCCTGCTGCGGAGCTGTGTGGAGAGAGCACCCTGATCCGGCCCTCTCCTGTTTTCCTCCGTCTGCCCGAGCCTGCTCTGCACGGTCCGTGACGTGGAGCTCCATGGCTTTGCGTGTCTCTATCACCCCTCTTGGCTTGGATTTATCAGAGGCGATGGAGTTCCAGGGCTCAAATCCTTCTCAGCGATGCCATTAAAAAGGCACCGGACTAAAAAGACTGAAACCCTGTTAAGTGCTTTGCTAGAGAGCACGTCTAACCTCATTAGCTGTCAGTTGTAACAATACTGAACTGGCAAAGAAGACTATTTGGAGTCTCGCGACCATTAATCACTCCCTGACAGAGCTGACGGGCTGGGAACGGGCTCACATGTGTGAGCATTCCCTCACACATACACTCCTCCCTCCTCCCAGTCTCTCACTCTCAAAACCTCTCAGTTAACCCTCTCCATGCCCATGCTGAGTCCACACTGCTAGAATGTAGAAGGTGCTAGTACAGTAAATGTCCTGATGTGCAGAAACAGCACTATATTCGGAAGCCATGAATGGCT